GAAAGGAAATAATGTCTATTTTGTGCAAACGTTTCGATTAGATTAAGAAATAGCAGTAGCATCCAATTAATCGATTAAAATCTTCGATAATGAATTTACTTATTAAAAATGACTGATTAAAGAGATGCTATGTATAAAGTCATACCAGAGAACACTATATGTTCTCTGGTCATACAATAATTCTATAAACAAAAAGTCAGATACAGATAGTTTAAATACAATCTACAGTAGCATTATTAATACATTTCAATCAAATGATAACACCCAATACATTGTTAGAGTCTTTTTATCAAAGTTTTTTCGTTTACTTTTTGTTTTACCACAAATTAGCAGCTCCACCTAGGTACATTTTTTAATATTTATTTTGAGGACGACAACCAAACATACCTATTAAAGTTTTCTCAAAGAAATCTCCGTATTAAATGAAAATTAATCTAATATTTTCTTTAACTCAATTTATGATGAATTATTTTATGACAGTTGTTTTAGCTCATTAGGTAATGTTGCTACTTTTCCTTTTTTTGTGTTATATATTTTTGATCCTTACTTTTTATTGTGTTGGTTTATTCAACAATTTTCATGTGCATTTTTTTAACATTTTTAACTATTGTTTTAATGTCTTCTAAATTATGTTTTACATATAAATACACACAATCTTATATTTTATTATTACTTATAGCAAGAAGAAAATTTTAAATAAAATCGAAACACAAAATCTAGACCCATATTTCCTTGTCCTACTCTGACTATACGTTCTTATTAGGTACACCATTTGAAGGGAACGAAAATTATTTAATATTCTTATTGGATTTTCAAATGTTTCAGTTAACTGTTATTATATAAAAATAGAAAGTAGGAAAAAAAGTGAAGATGATCGCCGTTTCACGAAACGTCGCAGTGACATATTGTTAAAGAGAGCAAATACTATACTGAGAAAACAGTATCCAGTTCTTATAAACTTTTTAAGCGTAAGAAAAATATTGTACAAGGTAAACTGACAAATATCTAAAAGCACAAACCACAATGGGTACTTATTTTTTCCGCAGTATAACTTTTCCAAGCATTTGAAATTGAAATTGACTCATAACATACTGTTTCCAATTTGTAATTGAAATCAGACGTAATAAAAAATTGAAATTGTTGAACCGTAACTAATATTTTATATTTCGTTCGTTCACTTTATTAATTATAATTATGTATTTTTTCCAGTTTTATAGATAAACGCAGTTTTTACAACTTTCGATTGTTTCACACAATAATCCTTTGTGGGGGTCACTGTTGAATCAGAACCTTAAACTTCAACTTATTTATTGTTCTGTTTATACGTAGGAGGCCATGGACGATCGGGATTTATTTTCGGAGCTACGTGATTAAGAGAACACAAAATCTACATTATAAAAAGAAAATCAAAAACTGCTTTCGACCAAAAACAATGAATTTCACGTGAAATTATGATTTAATTGTAATCTAGTCCATTCCAGAAGATTATTCTTTGGATAATTTTAGATCAAATAAGCCTTAACTTAATATTTTAATCGAGATATAGGGTGTTGAAAAAAAATATCGCATTTAGGTACTTAATTTTTTCTGAAGACTATAAATATCCAAAATTTATTTTACCAACAAGTAAAGATGTAAAAGTACCTCAAGTAATGGGAGAACAAAATTCTTGCCTTTATTTTGGATTCTAAGCCACACATTTGTGAAAAAGTCGGTTTTACTTATGACCTTTTGCCTTATAGACATGTCATCACAGGTAGAACCATGACGAAAATAATGATTAATTTGAAACATATTAACCTTTTTAGTTAGCAAGATAATTTTTGAAAAAAAAAAATATGCAGATAAGAAGAGTAGACGAATTATTTCACTGATTACAATTATCAGTTGTTTGACACTCTTTCACTGCTTACATTTATTAAAAAAAAAATGAGATAAAATTTTATTATTCGGAGGACACTTTTACGAATATTTATTCAAAGCTGCATCATAACAAGCCGTAAACAAGCGATTCTGCAGCACAGAGCTAAGATAATTTTTAAAAATATTTGACCTTACAACCTCCAATCTTGATATTTGATAATAACTGTACAATAATTTATTCCTTATGTGTTTTCCAGAAAATGTATTCTAATGTTGAAGAATTACATGCCGTTTAGTAATATATTATCTCTACATGTTTCACATATTAAAACAATTAATAACAGTATTTTTAACAACATTTTAAACATGTTCTGCAGACAAATCTGGAAACAGCGTCAAGGTTCCATTCAATCTTAACAACAAATTTTGAAGGTAAAGTAAAACCTAAATGATGGATTTAGATCTTACAGTACCTACATAAGTGACTTGAATTTTACGTCACATTTTTCCAAAATTAATTTTAGCTGATAATTGCTACTGCGTTAATGTAATGTCACCCAAACAGTTTATTTTTGAGAATCTTTTACTGGTATTGGCTTTAATTTTGGCTTTAAAATGTAAAGAATGAAGTATTTTTAATTAATAATATTGATAAAAATGGCGTTATTCTGTAATTATAACGTATTGGTTTATTTATAATTATTTTCCTGTAAAAACATATTTTTAATTGATATTCCTTGGAGGCTGTTATCGAATGAATTAAAGTGCCAAAAAAAATTTGAATCGTACAAAGGATATAAATATGTATGTACAATAATTCTGTAAACAAAAAGTCAGATACATATAATTTAAAAACAGTCTACAATGGCACCATTAATACATTTTTGGCCGATTGGCAGTAAATACGTAGTTTTAGTGACAGGTGTCAGGCACTAAAGTGTCACATTTACTGCCTAGGCATTAGAATTATTTTTACTGCCGATAAACGCTAATCTCATAGCAACCACAGACGACCTGATGAAATTATTATTCATGAGAGAAGTATCATAGCTTTGTTTGCTATTATGATAAAATTATGTAAATGTAAAAAAATATAAATTATGTGTTTAACTTGGCAGTAAAGTAGACTTAATGCCTTGGCTACTTTAATAGACTCGGCTACACCTCGTCTGTTAAATACCAGCCGCGGCATTAAATCTTAGTGACAAAAAAATTGAATCTCCCTCGTAAAAAGGGCGTAAATCCTTTGCACCAATGGTCGCAAGATCATAATTCTAGTGGATATCAGACCAGAAACCAATATGTTGTTAACTTGATTGATCTCAGTGAATTATTTGTTGGGTATTACGCCACCTGTCAAAAAATTTGAGAAATTGTTTAAATAAACCCTTGTGCCAAAAGGATCAGTCAATAATTCTTCTTTAGAGTTATTCATTTCACAATTATTACTGCCGCTTTTCTATTAAACCTTATGTGAATCGAAAATTTTCCAGATTATCCTTCAGCAGACTACGTTATTTTACATATAAGCTATTTGTAAATTTCGCATTTTTTCATAGAAATGAGATTTCATGAAAAACTAATGAATTTTGGTATAGGAGCAGGTATAGCAAAGTTGTAAAGAATTTAATTCTGCATCTCATGGTATGAAAATATACAGGGTGTTGCATTTAAAAAATTCGAGATTTTTCAATTTTTCAATTGGCAATTTTGACATGATATTTTGGTCACCCTGTATAACGCAGTCCAGTTTTTGGAGCATGATTCGGAAGAGTCATCCTTACTAAACATCTGATGAAAAAATTGGCTTAGTAGCTATTAGTATAACCTGTCAGTATCAGAAAATGTAAGCAGCCAATATCGACTAGAAAAACCTTTCAAGCGAGATATCTCAAAAACTGTGAATATTTGAATAGAACTATTCTACACAAAGTACCCTTAATTTTTTATGTAGAATCCGAAAAAAATATAAAAAATGTGTGTTTCCATTTAAAAAAGCAAAGTTGGTGTCTGGCCAGGAAAAGTGGAACACCCTGTATAGTTGAATATATTTTTAATTTGTACATTCCGAGAAATGTGGCAACACAGTAAAAAGAAAAATCCATATATTCTTCATTTTAATATAGATATTGGACTTTCCCGCACTAGTGGGACACGCTGTATACATTTTTTTGTATATTGAGCACATTTCATTTAATTTGGTATATAAGATTTTATAGAGATGTTAAATTAGAATATTTTAATTACTTTTAGATACAAAAATCACTAATACATTTTTTAAGTCCATACCTTTTTAATTTTTGAAAATTTAACCCTTTACATTTAATTATTTTGGGCTAAAGTGGCAAAAAGTTTTAATTTAAAATAACCGAAATATAAGGGCGACTTTATGAAAAATGAGGAAAAATTATATTGCCTTAGGTTCTTAAAAAAGTAAAATTAGGTCATTATCAAGTATTATTCCATTAGCCAATGTATTAGAAGATGCATGTACTTAATATGTTACTTTGTTTATGAAAGTAAACTGTACAAGCATTGCTTCATTTCGTCACTATCTCATAAATATATGTATTACTTAAGTAGGCATATCACAGTAGATGTCTTGCAAACATAGATTTCTCCATTTTACCTCCAAATGGCGCCAAAAATATATAATCTAAAACCTGACGAACGTATTTCAAAAATGTTCTCCAAAAGGTATTACTACTGCAACTAGAGAACAGAATGTCTTGTAATATACATATTTAGCCATGCAGTTATCCTATATGGTCAAATGAAAGTTAGTAATTGCTGTTTTCCACAACTATTAACAATTACGTGTGGAAAATCGTGTTTAGTTCTAGTCCAATAATTCAAAAGAGCCGTAAAATCAGTAGTTAATGATTTTCAAAACAATATCAAAGTCAGCAAGGAAACAATTGAAGTACAAGTTCCACCGGTATGCGTTTGGTTCGCGACTTCACAACGTTCAAGACAAAATTCCAAGCTTTTAAAGTGATTAGCGAGCCGTTCAACACTTTAATCGCCCATAAACCACCAGCCGTTTTCTTTCAAACCAAACCAAACAGCATACTCGGTGCGACTGTGTACACAAGCATTTAGCTATAATTGGCAGGATCAAGTAGGTGTGAACTCACCGCTTCTTCCATGTCTGTATTCCTGGTGAGGAGGACCATGCTTGGCGTCCGAAATGGCACAGTTTACAACCGCACAACGTACTTTTCCTGGGCACGAGTCAACTGTCGGGTTCTCCTCTCGATCTCCGTTCTCATGAATCAGATAGATCAAAACAAATTGAGCAGCGCGTACGAACCGCGCTCTGTGATTGCCAGCCACTTAATGTTGGTGCCGCTGTTGGTGCTGACTCGCGGCCTACTTTTCGCTTGAAGTGAAAGATACAAACAAGTCGTTCCACGGCCTACCTCTTCGCGGTTGTGATGGCCGGCAATGGATTCAGTCGCAGCACGCTGGTGGTAGCGTAGATACATGAGAGTGCAATGCTGCAGATGTACAGAGCGTTTCTTTGATATTGCGAAGAAAAACTTTTAGGGAAGGTTCCTCAGTTGGATCGCCAAGGGGTGGGCCTTGACCCACCTTTTGGTCCACTCCCCCTGTTTGACAATGGGAGATAAGTTTTAAATTACATTAACTAATCAACATTTTAATATAAGACGATATATACAGTGTATCCCGTTTTTCAGGTTAACACCTCTGGAAATGTGGAATTTTTTTTTACAAATAGCGTCCTGAAGGGAGGTTATATTCTATTAATCATTTTATTGATGTGACAAAATCCTGGCCTACTACGATTTTTTAAAAGGGTTGTTTTTCCAGTAAGTGGTATTATGCATTTTTTATCAAAAATATAATTTACCAGGTTATTTAACACCCATCAAAATACTCATATACCAAATTTGATCGACAAATGTCTATTGAGTGTTTTTTTATGGAGTGCCAAACATCGAAAAATCAGACAATTAAAAATTATAATAAGCAGGTCAAAGATTGCCATGAAAGTGAAAACAAGTACCAATCGGACAAAGAAAAAATACAGACACTTTTAATTGAGGTCACAGTAAAAATAATCTGAATTATAAATACAAAGTTGTTAAACAAAAAATTGCAAAATAATCTAAATTAAATTTTAGTTTTCTCCACCAAACCTTCTTCTTAAATTTAAAAACACTTTACATAGGTTTTATTCTGTAAGGATAAATATTCTTCCATAGTTCCAATTATACAGAATGAATGAAATAATTTTAAACAAGTTTTAAACAAAATTGAAATAATACATTAGGTTATGATGAAAAATGAAGGCTTTATTGTTGACATTTTTGACGTTTAACTGTTAAACTAGTTAGTGTCATAAAGTAAGAATCTCTTGCAGTCATGGCAAAATATTTAGCTTTACGAGAAAAAATAGAAATTGTTCGATTAAGGGGTGAATATTTTCGTAGTTTTTGCAGAAATGAGTGGCACCAGAATAAAACCATATCTTATATTACTGTTCGCTGAATCAAGAAGTTGTTTGATGAAACTGGTAAAAAATTTAGCAATTAATATGTAGTATGTATTTGATTGTCATTCTTGCTAATTGTAGGTGCAGTATTCAAAATACACAAAAGAACTGTTGTTCCAATAAATCAACAACAATAAGTAATATTACAATATTTTCGTAATAACCCAAAAAGTAGTCTCCGAAATGTCAGTTTGGTGTTAAATTGTTCGAAAAATAAAATTCTTCGTTGTCTAAAAAACTATATAAAACCGTTTAAACTCAGGTTTCTTCAGGCATTGGAAGAGGGTGATGAGAAAAGGCGAATGGAATTTTGTTTGTGGGTACAGGGAAATTATTTAAATGATAATAATTTTCTGGGCAGCATTATTTTCACTAATGAAGCTACTTTTACGACAAACGGAGTCGTATCTTCTCAAAATATCAGATTTTGGAATGAAAATAATCCTAATTTTGTAATTGCAGGAAAGAGGCAGTATTCCCAGAAAATTAATTTGTTTTGCGGAATTCTAAAGCACAGGGTAGTAGGTCCCTTCTTTTTTTTTGTAATAACATAAATGGTGAAGTATTTCATCAGTTTATATATAATAATATATAATGAATTATGGGACATTATACAGGATATTCCTTTATTGGAAAGAAGAAATATGTATATTTACAGTTGGATGGAGCTCCAATCACAACACTGTCGCTGTCATTAGTTGACTTAATGACCAGTTGGCCACCAAGATCTCCTGATTTGTCACCTATGGACTTTTACTTTTGGGGTTTTATAAAACAAAAAGTGTATAAAAACAGACCAAGGAATTTGGATGACCTAAAGAATCAGATAAGACATACTTATGCAGAAATTACTCCACAGCAGTTATGTAAAGTATTTAGAGAAGACGATTGGAAAAATATGTTCTACTGGAAGGAGATTGTTTTTCAGTTTTTTGTTTAATAACATTAATTACATTTTTGATACGTTATTATTTTTACTATGACCGCAATTAAAAGTGTTTTTAGGTATAATGTGTATTTTTTCTTTGTTCGATTGGTACTTGTTTTCACTTTTATGGCAATCTTTGACCTGCTTATTATAATTTTTAGTTGTCTGATTTTTCGAAGTTTGGCACTCCATAAAAACACTCAATAGACATTTATCGTTCAAATTTGTTATATGGGTAGGTATTTTGATGGGTGTTGAATAACCTGGTAATATTATCTTTTTTATAAAAAAATGCCTAATACCACTTTCTGGAAAAAAGACCCTTTTAAAAAATCGTAGTATTCCAGGCTTTTGTCACATCAATAAAATGATAAGTAGAATATAACCTCCTTTCAGGATACTATTTGTAAAAAAACTGGTTTGCGGAAAGTCCACAGCCTTCTCACATTTCCAGAGGTATTAACTTGAAAAACGGGACACACTGTATATACAGGGTGAGTCATAATTAGGTGTAGATAACAGAAACTTCTGGTCAAAATAAAATTAGTAGTTAAATAAACCTTCGCTCCAAAACGTTTACATTTTTTACAGCTAAAGAGGCATCTAAATTATTTCTCAAATTTGTCGGTAATTTTCTTGACAAAAATCATGAAAATTACGAATATGTCATTACTTTTTCAAATACAAATTTCCTTCACCACAAGTTAATATTAGATATTTTATATTTTCAAGATTTTGTAAAATTCTTTCAGTCTCAGACAAAAATTAATGTGTCAATTTTTGGCAATATTAGGTGAAGGAAATATTTTAATTCAAGAGTCACTCAATATAATATTTGGCTAAATTATTTGTGCTAGAATTGAACAAAAAGTTCCCCCGTTTATTACGTAAACACCTACGTAAGCTCAAAACGCTCATATTGTTTACTGCATACATATGTGCCAAAACTGTTGATCAGAATTTAAGTTTACAGTAAAAGTTTATGTTTAGGATAAAGATAAAGGTTTAGCATTAGGAGAATTATGTCAGTCTGCTGTTTTACAGTATGATACTGGAAACATTCAGTATAATATTAAGTTCAGTATAATTATACTTGTATTTTATCATCTTATTATACAGGATGTCCCGGTACTTGATACAAAAAACTCGAGTACAGATAGATGAGGGCAAAATAATATCAGTTCTTCACATTTTTTTCATACGGCCCTCCGTTAATAAGTTACGGGCCCTTGAAGGTGAAAATTAAAAAGTTATTTTTATTTACAGTCTCTAAACCGTTAACATCAGCATGATACAAATCTGGTGATCGATAACACATGCGTACAGCTTGTTTTTGATGGTTACCCTTTTTCGTGTACGAGCAAATAACATTCGTAGCCTTAGGATATGTGTGGAGGTGGAAAGTGTCCATATTGAAAATGTATTTTGAAAGTGTTCTTTCTTTTAAATTATTTTTTTAACTTTAACTTATTCTTATTTTGTTTTAGTTTTTTTGTTATGTGTAAAGTGTATAGTGTGTTTGTCAAATTTTGTTAATGAAAATTACATTAGCAGACAGTAAGACAGGTTCTTATTTTAAAAATATGTGCATGCTTTTAACATAATAATTAAGTGCAACTAAAAATTAAAAACAAAAAATGGTGGATGCGCCGTCCGATGTACACTGTAACAAAATCATAAATATTTCCTAAATCGTTAATTTTACCGAGTTAAACCAAGAGGGTTTTATAGTTTCTTCTAGTTTATATAAATTCTTCAGGAAACTTATTTTTAATACAGGCAGATTGCGATCGTCATTTATGCAAAAGTTCTGGGTTGTTAACCATTGGGCATAGTCCGTCCCTGGCGTTCTGGGCATAATGAAATTTCACTTACAACATCAAAAGCAAGCTGTTAATGGTTTAGAGACTGTAAATAAAAATAACTTTTTAATTTTCACCTTTGATGGCCCGTAACTTGTTAACGAAGGCCCGTATGAAAAAATTTTATATGAAGAACTGATATTGTTTTGACCTCGTCTACCTGTACTCGACTTTTTTGTATCAAATATACCGGGAAACCCTGTATATATTTTTAAATTTTGCCGAATTTGGTAACAAACATAAATATAAAAGCATTTTTTTAGGTTAACACAATTGCATCAATTTTTATCTGCCATTATCAATAATTTTTTTGAGCTCGTACTTTTTTGTGTTTTTTCTAAATGTCACAAACTTTCTTTTTATATAGCACATCCCTGAACCCATGTATCTCCGCTACTGTGAGTAGCAAAACTACTTCTTCATGAGATTATTGCATCAGATTGGCATTATATTTTGGAATCACCATTATACTGTGAGTTCACTGAAGAAGGCGAAAAGGCAGAAAACTTTTATTTCCCATTTCATGAAAAGGCGTCATTCTTTTTAAAAAATTCTGCCTTTGTTCAAAAATGTAAAAATGTTTTAAATAGGCCAACATACACTGAGTGCCCTGTATAATTAAAGTGTTTAGAAAAATAGTAACTGATTGTATTATTAGATCTCACGAATACATTCATCATTTAAAAAACAATAATTAAATATGTACAGGGTGTGTAAAAAAATTGATCATAATATGTTACACGATCTTGTACGTTCTTTGAACAATATTTTCATATCTAAATAATTAAGTAGGCCTTGACAGAAATGAACAAGTTATTTTTTTGTATATAATGTCCTTTTTTCGTATATCGAAAAATTTTATTGACAAAAGTTGTTTGCAATATGCCAAATTTGAAGATAATCAACGATTTGATGAATCACTGAATTGTAAAATTAAAACCGACTGTCATAAAATTTGGGATTTTAATGTGAATCCTAATTCCAAACAGCTTCTAATATATTTTTCCCAATATCTTACACAAAAGGGGAACTTTATTTACATAGGATGGAGA